TGTATTATGGTAGAAATGGTAGACTTTACACCAGAAGTGAATTTGTCATGTTGGTAATTAGGATAAAAAAACATGGCAACTATGCTCCATGCTATAATTTCAACACGATTTAGGAAAAAGACCCCAAACTTTAAAAAAATGGGCTCTCAAAGCCAAAACAAACAATTTCAACATTCTACTATCATTTTGGGATTCCTACATGGAAATGTGATACTTTCATTTTGTTTCAAGGTGAACAAATTTAGGGGTGACTGTCGTAGTCTAAGCAGGTACATTTAATATCTCAAAATATATCAATTTTGATAGTTAAGTAAATGTACACAATTAGGATCCATGTAATAAAACTTAGGGAGGTGATTACATTACATAAATATCCAAAAATGAAGTGTTAGTCTTAAAGTACATTTTACTGGCATAGACAAAAGTGGTCAGCTTGTATTTGTTAAAGGAAGAAGTTTTATTCCTGGAAATGGGTCCTCTGGCTCAAAAATCGAAACCAGACCAGGCTATCCTTGATCTAAAGGCACAACATTTGATGCAGCCCCATGTTAAAAAGGTTTAAAAGGTCAAAGGAATTTGCATCCTGAATAAACCCTGGAAGGGACTTAACAAATTTTAACCACTGGTGGTTTAAGACTGCAAGGAGAAAGTTTTATCATCATTGCCCATAAACATTACACTGAAAATATTTAATTTGCTCATATTTGTTACTAGCTTTTTTCCTAAGACTTTTAAGTAATTTCTACAATTTGGGGCACAAACCCATGACCTCAAAATCAAGAGTCACATGCTCTATCAACTGAGCCAGCCAGGTGCCCCATGTTACTAGTTTTTAAATGGACATTTGAAAAAACCTGGATTTTACTCCTTAAATGTGATGATGATTCTGTCTGCCTGCTACAACAGACCATGAGTGCCAACAAAAGTCCCTGCTAACAGGAGAGCGTCAACAGGGTGGGTGCTGTCCTACATTTAGGCACATTCAATTAACCCCTCATTAAAAGAATCCTGCCTTTGATGAGCACGTCAGCCCCCAGGTTCAAGGCGGCAACACTTTATACTGAACAATTTATATGCAGAGACAAATCAGCTCAATTGACAGGCTGAGTCTAGAAAAGCAGCTATGGCATCCTCTGTGAAGGGAAATGCCCTAGCCTAAAACATTCCCTTCTCCAGAGACTTCCCGGTAAGGTTTGTATTTAATGACCACCATTAAATGGTTGAAACCGTGTCCACTTATTTTTACCAAATTGGAGCCATCAAGCAAGCCACTAAGTCCAGTGAGTCGGGACACAGCTGCCCCTTCCAGCTCAGTGCTATGCTGAGAAATCATTTCTCAATTTCTACGAAGAGAAATCAGTTCCTCCCTCGTCTCTACTGGTTAGCGGTCAGGGCTGTGGGGTTCCAGGCCTCGTGATTTGCTAGTAGAAGCTTTGGGTGAAGAGATGACTTCCCCCTGGACAGAGATGCTGATCTCCACAGAGAGAGGTCCAAGCTACAGCTCTCAATCTACAAAGTCTTCAGGTTCAGAACGCTGGTTGAACAAAGGTCAAGGAGAGAAGAGTGTTAGTTTCTGAGGAGGTGACATCTGAGTGCTCATAGCTCCCTAAAAAGGGGGACTGGGCTGAAGCAAGGAGTATAAGACATTGGTGGGATATCCCCAACAGTGACACAAAGTATGCCACCAAAATCTTCCTGCGACCCAGGGCATCAAATTGATCTAAATTTTATCTAAATTGTGGCTACTATATAGAATGTTGGGGTAATCCTACTTTGAAAGGGATTACATTGCCTAATGCAGGGGCTGGCAAATGTTTTCTGTAAAGAGACCAATAGTAAATATTTTAGGCTTTGCAGGCCATATGGTCTCTACCGTAATTACTCAATTTTGCTGAAAGCAAGAAAATTACCACACACAAAAAAAAAGTAAATAAATGGGCGTGGCCATGTTCCAATAAAACTTCAGTTACAAAATCGGACAGCAGTCAGATTTAGTTCATGAGCCAGTCTGCCAACCCACAATCTAGACAGCTGAACCCAATCAACACCACCTAGCTATACACTTTGTGTAAAAACGACTTCATGAACTCATAATGTTTTATTCTGACATCTCCTCAGAATCCTTGTATCTTCCAGAATCACCCTGATATTTCTGTGAATTTAGTGGGAATCCCTCTAAATGCTATATATATATATAATTAGTACTATAATGTACTAAAAATTCTAATGACAGCTCCAAATCACTTACAGCCAGAGGAGGAAGACAATAACACAAAATCTGCTCAGAGACCCTTCAAAGGGGGCAGTGTCCTAGTGCAACACTGAAGCTCATCAAGGAATGGTGTCCCCTCTTAGCACCTGATCATCCCCTCCCACCACAGAGGGCCTCTCCAATAGCAATTCCAACCAAGCAATGCCTGTGAAGAATTAAAAAAATAAAAAAATAAATCACTGGAAATACCACATTAGTAAATCAGGTTTTGCAAAGTAAATGAGGTTACCTACATTTTTTGTCTCAGGGCCACCACTCTCAGCATACTAGTATGCTTTGTTCCAGCCCACTCTACTTCAAAGAGAACAGACACCCACAAGGCTAACAGCCGGACAGCTAATACACAGAAAACAGGCTCCCCTGAGTGGCAAAGGGAGAGTGAACACCAACACCATTAAAGCTGATAGAAGATGACTCCTGAATGCCCAGAAGTCTTGGAAAAGAAGATGCCCAATTCACTCCGCATTCAGTTATTTCACTTGAAATGGGCAGAAAACTGGTGATAGCAATTTATAAATTGACATGTTTCACAGTGCAGGAGAAGGAAGGACTTTATCTAGAAGCCACAGCCTACTTGAGCAAGGGCACTTTCAAAGCAGCCCCAGAGGATACAAAAAACGAACTTACTTATAACGAAAAGCCTTGTGCCTATCTGCCTCTCTTCAGCTCCTGAAACCACTGCTGCAAAGCGACTTGTGAGGATTTGATTGCTTGGAATTTCCAATGCGATACTATTTCAAAAATTAAAAATAAAAATCTTTAGCACCCACCTAGGCCAATGCTTCCCACAAGTAGAGAAGGGAGGGGGTGAGCTAGCAGCACTAAAGGCAGTTTCTGGGGGAAGGCTGGCGCTGAGGAAGAAGTGTGGGTTTTGAACAGAAAGATTTGGTCGCCCCAAGACCTGCCCAACACTCCTTCCACTCAAAGCTTTACAATCTGCCACCCTATCCACTGGACCATAGAAACCTGCCTGTGGCGTCCACAAAGTCTATCGCGGACATCAGAAAGGAAAGGTCTTTGAGAGGAAGTGGGAGCAGTGAAGGATTTCATGTCCATTCTATTCAACACACTTATTCTCAATGCCGAATCCCCTCCGTTAGGATGATTAGAGATCCAACGAAACAGAGCTCCTCGTGTACTCTGAGCCAACTCAACTAGTCCTGGATCATAATTCATTAAGTCAGATGCTGCAAGTCTCTGACAGAGCATTAGGATCATCTAAAGGTCTGCTACCCAATGTCAGAGAGAACAAAGTTTGAGCTTATGCAGAAAATAACTGATAGTCCAGTATCTTACTAATAAAGGAAAAACCTGTCTAGCCAAAATATTAAAGGAATGAGATCTTTTAATTTTCTGGTTAACTGAGTGTTACATAAAAAGAAATATTTTACTTAAGTCCTTAAGCATTTATTTTTCCTTAATTATTCCACACTGTATTGGTCCACACCTTCATATAAGAGTAGTCAATGCCATCAACACAACACATTGTTTCTTGGGTGACTGAGGATCCAGCTGTTATTTTTAACACAGCATCGTCAGTTTTGATACCGATGAGGATTATATAGAATCCACCCCAATACAGAAGTTCAGAAAAATTGGACTGAACATGTCCTGAGCCTAGGAGGAGCTCTAAGAGTTGATTTTAAATAAATCCCTTTCAATTTTTCAAAAATTCCATTTCCCTCCCTGCCTTCATGGACAAATATGGTCATGAGTTCTGCTCTGGGACTACTGCTTGTCAAACCGTAGACCCTCTGCTATGGAATATATTTTCACCTCCTGTTCTTCCCCTGATAATGCCGGGAAGGTTTCTGGAGGTTCGAGAAGGATAGAGAGAGGAGACAGCGGAGGAGATGCACAGAGGAGTGAGGAGACAAAGCTTAGGAAAGAGAAGGCCAACAGGAGGGACGGTCGGGGAACTGGGAGGGGTCAGAGGGCAGAGAGAACTTGCCAGAAAACAGCCCCATGTAATTCTGCGTTTTGTCTGTATAAATTCCCCTGAAAATGCAAATCGTTACTCAGAGCAGTCTGGTTCTTACAGGTATGTATGCTGACATCAGCAGATCAAAACAAAGTAAGAATAAAATCACATGGAAAGCTCTCATACAAGCATCTGCTTTGCCGCTGTTGCTTTTGGCAGCCCTGGACGTTGAAGGAAGGACACCCCCTGAAGCCATCAACTTGTGACAGTCACTGCAGTTAAACACTGGCAGTTAAGAGGATTAATCAAGAGGTTACTAATTCCCCAACTTTACAGAGAAACAAGATCCTGTTCCCAAAAGAAAATGATACTGTCAGTGACCAGCTGAAACCTGCAGTATCCTTTGTTCCAAAGTCATGATAGGTTGTTGCTCCCAATATTCCATTAATCAATTTGGGTTTCAATACCCCAGGTAATTGAAATGTGTCCATACACCACACAGCTAAGCTGGAAACGCTCAGAGGGAACCTGTCATCTCTAACCCTTGAAAATACCCGAACAGCCAGAGTCTTTCGCTGAGTGTCTAGCTCTCAGAGAACTCAAGGTCAGCCCCTCCAGAGCCTTCTACAACAACAGTGGGATTTAAAAAGAGGCCAGGATCTTAACAAAACGATAGCAGGAGAGGCTATAAATACATCTTTAAATTAGAGAATTGCTCTCAAAGATTTTGTTGTCGTTCAAATTTAAGTGGATTTCATTATAGCAGGTGACAAAAACTAACAATGACGACTCTAAGTGATGGCTTACCTATTCCTGAATTAGCTCCGGTGACCACAACCACTTTGCCAGTGAAGTCCCGGCCCTGGAGGATCTCCATGGCGGTGGTGCCACCATCATACCTCTGCCTGCTGGTGGGCTTTGTAGGGTTATCATCCACCGTAAATGCCAGTCTTGGGTCCAAATAGGTGGTTCTTTTATTTATATGGCTGAAAAAAAAAGGAGAAAGCAGTGAGCCCAGGCATTTATAAAGATAAGGTCATCTTAGAGTTTAGGCTAGGCAAACCTCATTTTTCAGGTACTAAAAAAGGTTTCTTCTTAACCCCAGAAAGAACTGGCATCCATTTAAGTCTATCTTCTGGCCTCCAGAAGGATTACATTCCTGCCTGGAAAGATAGTCATCAAATCCTTTTCTTCAGAACTGCCTGCTGTAAAATGCGCTGTAGCATACAAAAAACACTGCCTTGTATCCTGAGATTTCAAAAAAGCGAAGCAGCTTTGGGATTTTTTTTTTTTAATTCATGTAAATATGGCTGTAAGATCTATCAGCCACTCTTCTCAGTAGATTTCAGTGAAATCTCTGAACCCTGTGCAAGGGCATAAGAAAACTGGTAGGAGGTAGAAAACTCAAAATGATACAAAGTCTGAACATTCTGAAGCTCTGATGATTTTAATTTTAAGACCATATTCTTATCTCCTCCAAGCACTGTAGTTTTGATTGGGAATTGATCTAAGTCTTGTAGAAATAAAATTAAAATATATTGGTACATATGGATTAATGGGTTACTACTATGTAACAGAATTTTTTTACATTGTAAATGCACTCTTGAAATCTGAGGCAAAAGACCTCAAAAATAACTTAAAAACCATTAAGAATTAACTCTCCAGAAGTAAACAGATGACATTTTGCGATTTAAAGGTGTTTTTTTGTAACGTGTATTAATAGTTTAAAATCTGTACTTATCGCTTAGAAATACAAAGACACAAGAAGAATCCAACTTTCATTTTACTTATAATCGGAGCTGCTGGAGAAGTATGTTGACGCGCCCGATGCGAGACACCACAGCAGTGCTGCGGAGCAGCCAGCTCGCACCGGCGTGCCCGGGTGCATGTGCACACCTCCCCTGGCTCCTCACTGACATCCCCTTGGTAGCCTGAAAGAAGCCACGGTGAAAGTATGTGCACCATGGAGAGAGACCTGGGCTCCCCGCCAGAGCTGGTAGTGGACCACTGACCAGGCCACCACTGTAACAGGCTTAGGGGGGAGAGGCCGAAGAGTTACACAGGAACTTAACATCAATGCCCAGAAGGTAACTTGATAAATTACAGTATATCTGTACAAAATAATACTCCACGGCCATTCAACATCAGTGTCTTGAGAAATATATACATAAGAAAATGCTCACAAGACATTGTGTGGAGAAAGACAGAGTCCTACACAATTCACACAGTGCACTCCCTATTTTTCTTTAAAGAAAGCAGATTTACAGAATACAAAAATTATTAGAAATATATATATACACCATTGTTTTTTCTATATTCAAGGTATACTACTTTTACAATTAAAAATTCCCATTGAAAAGCAAAATGAGAATAGTTTCTATATAGACACTTACTCAACAAAAAAAACTTGTCCATTCTCATCAGTTTCTTGTTCCCATCCATAGGGCAAATCTGAAACACAGAAGACTGGCAGGTGTACATGCGGCAGGTGGGGTGAATGGACGCCCAGGCCCCAGGTCAGGAGGCATCATGCCTTCCAAGCCCCACCCCAAAGCCTAGCCCACTGAGCAGCAGCCAGACTGGGCCAGTTCAGGCCATGTGTACCGACCGTGACTGTCACAAAAAGCAAAATCACCATCACCACTCCACCCCACTCTCAAGGCCTCCCTCCTGCCACATCCCATGAGCTCCTCCACATGAAAGCCTGATTCCTTGATGGCTCCCTCCTAGAGAACCTTCAAGGAATGACAGAGCAGCCTGTCACCTGATTGTGACACATCTGCCATCTAATTAATGCTTTAAATGCAAGGTTCTTTGCTTTATGACAATAGCACACAAACCTCCTGCTATTCGTTTTCTTTTTCCAGTTTTTGGATGTTCCCACTGGGTCTTCTCCTCAGCGTGACTGTTGAGGGGGAAAAAAAAAGTTAAAAATGCACAAATAGAAAGTGAAGGTTACACTTCTAAAAATTAATCAACTGCATTAAGTTTGTTCCCCTCCCAAAAAACACTGTCTCCCAAGAGTAGTAAAGCCAGAGATCAGAAAAGAAATATTCAGAACATAAATGCTACTGTCTACATCAGGTCAAATTCCCTAGGTGGGAAGGAGAAGCAGCCCAAGGAAATCTCCTGAAAACCTGTCTTTGTGAGCAGGCTGTGGAGGATGAGAAAGAGAAATGGGCCGGAACCCCAACTGTGGGTTAGGAAACTCAATGAATCACTCAGAATATCTAGAAGTGTCCTGTATTTAGTTTATTCCAAGATAGATGAACAAACAACAGTCTAATTTACAACGCTGATATTTAGATGTCATTTAAATATTAATCATGAATATTTATTTTTTCCAGAGATATAACTTTGAAGCGTTTTAATCACCAACTCCTAATTGCTCCCAAGAGGCATTTAACAATGTAGTAGGGTAGCCCCATAGGTCACCTAACTACACACCTAGCCAAGTTACTCAACTTCAGAGCCTCAATTTACCTATCTGCAAAATGGAAATAATCCTAGAACTGATCTCAAGGAAACGCTATGAAGGTAAGGCTTATAAAGGGCTGAATACAGTACCTGGTATATAAAAAACTCTCAAAAGTGCTACCTATTATTTTAAACAAATCAAATATACAAACCAGTCTCATTTCTGTGGCAAATTTAGCATTTTAACTAATAGCACACCAAGTTATAATTAAAATCATGAGTCAATAACAGACTAGAGACACCCATCAAAAGGTGATAAAATATCAAGAAAAACATAAAATTACTTAATCAGAGAAGCAGCTGCATGTTGCAAGAGGCATTCAAAGGGGAGGCTGGATTTCCTAAAAGTTCATACTCATACCAAAGTAGAAGATGATAATTAATCATTGACATCTAGATGATAAAATTTGAATATGCCTTCCCTACCAATTACTTTTTAAAGAAAAAATATAGAGAGCATGAATCTGCTGTAAAATTTTACAAGTTTTACAAGGTTTTTGGAAGCCTGCTGGCTTCAGGTCTGATTTTTGCAAACTCTCAGTGGCCAGTGCAGGGGCTCTGTGAACACTGGACTCAGAAGGCCAAAGCCTCGGGCTCCTACACGCCTGTGATCAGTGAGCCAGTCTCCCTGGCCCCACAACCCCCTCACAGGGCTGCTGGAAAGATAAGGGACACCCTACTTGTGACAGTGACTGGCAAAAAGTTAAGTCACCATACAAATGCAGGGTTATCAGTAACAAGGACCAGTGTCTACTGTACACTGACCACCATGAAATCCTACTTGCAGAGGGGGAGAGCCTGAGTCCCCGGAAAGGAGAAGCCGCTTCTCATGACACAACCCCTGCCCCCCTTGCAAACTGAAGGAGCATCGAGCAGACAAAGCAGACACTAGCAATAGCATACCCGGCTCCTGCTCTTTGCTTTGCTCCACATGCCTTCTTCAAGAAAGTTTGCAGGCGTGATTATGTTTTCCTCTGCCCAATGTTAAGAGTTTTCATTCCATAGGCAGGCATCAAACGAGCTTTGAGCTGAGCTCTAAAGAGACCTGCCCTCAAGAACCCACAAAGCTCCCCTGTGCGTGTAACGCTGACCCCTGTGCAGCAGCCCTGCGTCCAGCTGAACCCTGACACCCAGCCCCATGCCTGGCCCAAGGAGCTGCCCAGGTGCAATTAGGCGGGATGAATAATTGCCTTCAGAAGAAGTTGGGAAATATACTCAGAACATTTTTTTTTCTACCCTGAAAGACATTAAAAAAAAAAAAAAAAAGTCACCCCCATGTTTCTGACTTTGACAAAAAATGCCTAAGCCAGGCTTTCTTAGCGCTGGCGACCCTGACAGTCAAGCCAGATCGCTGTCTGCTCTGGGGGCTGTCCTGTGCACTGCAGGATAAGGAGCTGCATCCTCGGTCTCTACTTACTAGATGCCAATATGCCAGAGGGGTGACAGCAGAACCCAGACATTGCCAACTGTTCCGTGAAGGACACAGTGCCCCTGGGGGAGGATCCGAGGCCTGACACAAGAGAAAAAAACATCCTTTGGTAGTGAGGACTTCTGAGCCCAAATGCTCGTGACTTCCGGCTCTCCCACTCACCAGCCATCTGCCCTTGAAGAGGTGTTCAACCTCCCCATCTGTAAAATGGGGATAAGAGCAGCATCTGCTCCTTGGGGTCCTGAGGACTGAATGAGTTAACACATGCGAAGAACTAAGAACTGTGCCTTTCACATGGAAGTATTAAACACTTACATATAAAACTTAATTAAAAAGTGTTCCTAATTGTAACCTAAAATGACTTCTTAATGAACAGAAAATCACGACACATGTCCCCAAAGTGTTATCTTCCTCTCCTTTAAACAGAAGCCTTCTTCTATTTTTTCTTCTTCAATAAGCTTTTTGTCATTTAAGGAGATAATTAACAGTGATCTTAATTTAAACCAAAAGGATCAAAATTAAATTCATACCCACATTACATGGATATCACTCTCAAGTATGCTATTCTAGAAATCTGGTCTTGAAATACAGTTAGTTAACTTGGAGACAGCTGACTGTGAGGAAGGCCAACCCTGTAGACGAGGGAACTCTCTCCTGACCAGGCAAGGCCAGCTGTCCCCCTGGCTGCCAAGGGGCCCCGGCCTAAGGAATGGGGGCCGAGGGCCCAGGAAGGCCCAGCTGACCACAGTAACAGCCCCCGGCACTGAGACCTGGTCCTTCCATCACCCCCTCCTGGCTTGGGCAGAGGGGAAAGGCCCGCCAGCTCTCTCTGGGCCAGGTCTCCCTCAGTGGCAGATGTCCTCCCCTTGAAAGCCCAGTCTGGTGGGCCCTGGAGCCCTATGACATGTGTGTCTTTGAGGTCTGAGTGCTCTGTGGGGCACATGAGAAAGCATGAAGCCGACAGGAGAGGGGCAAAGATGAGTCGGGGAGGAGGGTCTCATCGGGAGCTACAGCCTCTGTCCTTGGGGAAAGCCTTGCTGCAGTTGAGAGGAAGACCATTAAACAACATGAACTACTCAAAGAGCAGTCTTCTTTTAGCCCTCAAACCCCAAGAGAGGACAAGTGACCCTTCCAGAGTTAAGAGAAAAGAAGGACCAGGATGCTTGCAAGTCAGGACAGAACAAGGAGGACTGCTGGGAATCTAGGGTTAGGATTGGTCAGAGGCATCCTTCCACCTGGAGAGCTAAAGAACAGAGGGCTAGGGGGACTGGAGAGAGGGACCCCCCCCAGCTGGGGCTCAGCCACACCTTGTCACTACATTCAGCGTAAAAAGGGGGCCAGACAGGCCACTGTGAGACCCAACACTGGGGAGGGCTGGGAGGAAAGCCTTTTCGGGGACTATATATGCACCAATGAATCCCCTGAAAGCTCTCGGAGGAGCTGGCTGGGATGTGCAGATCGTAGTGAAAGAAGAGCCCAGACACTGGGCACCATCAAGGAAGGAAGCAGATGGGAAAGGCCACCCAACATAAGGTTGGGTGCAGAGGGAAAGGAGAACCTGAAAGGAAGCCAGGGAGCCTAGGGTAAGTGGCCAGAATGAAGGTAACCCCACACACAGAGCAAGAGGCAGAGGAGGGCTCTAACAGCCCATATGCCAGTCCTGTGCACCTTTGCATTCCCGGGCTTAGCATGCCATCTGCTCAGGGAGGCCCAGGGAACCCTTTACCGGATGAACTGATTCACTCATCCCACATGGACTTATTTTACGTCTCCAAGGTACTAAGCACAGGGGACTCAGAGGGTAACAAGAAAAGGTCCCTGCCCTCATGAAGTTTACAATCTGGGGAAGGAAGACAGAGTGCAAACGAGAAGAATATGGCTAAGATGATTGTAGACAAGCCCAAGTACCATGTCTCAGGTAAGATGCTGGGAGGAGGGGGCAGGGACAAGGGAAGGTCTCCAGGCGGTGGTATTTAAGCTCAGCTCTGGGGGATGACAAAGCCCTTCCCGCAGCTCTTCAGGAAGAGGGAACGGCAAGTGCACGCTCAGAAGCTGCCTGGAGCCCCACAACAGCCTGACGGCTCCCTGCCGTAGACTTGCCCCTATTCTCCAGAGCCAGAAGCCACCTCTCAAGAGACATAAATCCAATGGCACTCCCTGGCTCCAAGCTTTCAGTGGACCCCCAGGTCCTGGTGATGGAGCCCCAGCTCTCGCATGAGGCACAGAAGGGCTGCCTCAAGCATCGCATCCCTGCACCAGCACCTGGGCCATAGAGAAGCCTCCTCCTGGGCTGCCCTCCTGGCCCTGAATATGCCCACTTCGACTTGTGCTGAGGCGCAGCTCAGGAGCCAACTCTCCCCACTCACCTGAGGTGCCCCCCATGTACCCGCACATGCCTCGTGCTAGCAGGCTGCTGCTCACTATACACACCCTACACCCGAACAAGCCGTGTGTCACTCTGCCCTGTAAGACTGGGTGACAAATGGGTCTTATTTATCTCAGTACAACCAGTGCTCAGCTAAGAGCCTGGCATGTGATAAAACCTCAATGTGTCTTGAACGAACAAACTCACCAAGGTCTTTCTTTTCTCTTTCCTTTTTTTTTTTTTTTTTTTTTTTTTCTGGTTTTGTTTCTACCAAGCAACCAAAGACAGCGGTGGCTCACATAACACTGGGCAGATAAGAATCTCCTGGGAAGATTTTACAACATATCAGTGGAGGCGGGGAGGCCCCAAACCGGTTAAATGAGAATCTGTGGAGGAGGAACCAAGGAAAGGCTCTTGCCTAAGTCCTCCAGATGCTGGAAATCACTGACTTACACCCGTGTTTCTCAAAGCCAAGGGACAGCCTGCCTTATGGGGAAAGCCTATAAAACAGATTCCCCACGCTGGGTGTCGGCTGCATGGGTGGGGGGGGGGGGTGTCTCTGAAATCTGTATTTTTCGGTCCACGGACAGGTGATTCTAATAATCAGGCTGAGGCGGTGCTGTCGCAGCTGCAGGGAGAGCAGGAAAAGCGAAGTCATTGAGCAGAGCATACTTACTAGATCCGGGCTACGTGTTTCATGTGCAGTGCCTGAATTAAAGTTCTATCAACCCATTATACAGGTGGGGAGGGGGGGAAAAAAAAAAAACAAAAAACAAAAAACACGGTGACTGGGATCTCTCATGGGCCCAAAGTAGCAGCACATCAAGGGAAGGGAGAATGGGTCCACTGGGGTCTGCAAAACTTTGCCGGAAACCATCGGGAGTTCTAGCATATACACACACGAGTCTGTGTACGTGTACATAGCTGCAGTGGGATATTTATTTAAAAATACATACTTCTAGCTCTCCTCCCCCCAGGCCCCCGAGGAAGGCGCTGGGCGTCAGCGGTTCTTTTCCTGGGCGAGGGAGTCAGGCCCGCGGGCCGCCGGGGCGCCGTGCAGCGCCGCCTCCTGAGCAGCAGAGGGCGCGCCTGGGAGCTGCCAGGTGCCCCCCGCTGGACCCGGCGCGCTCGGGGCCGCCCCGCCCCGGGACCCCGGCGGCCTCCCGGGGAGGCTCCTCCGCCCCCGCGGCCCTCCCCGCGCAGGCGGCGTCCCCGGCGGCGGGGTCCCAGGGGCGGCCCCGCCAGGTGCGGCCCCGCCAGGTGCGGCCCCTTACTTGGCATAGTAAACCCAGCCGTCCTTGGTGGTTCTCTGCTCCCAGCCCGGGGGCAGCTCGTCCTCGCTGTCCGTGTCGTCCAGACCCGCGTAGCGCAGGGCTGCCATGGCGCCGGGGGCGGCCGCCGGCTGCCGGGTCTCCGCGCCCAGGAACTCACTCACTCCCGCTCCAACCGAGCGCCGCGCGCGGCGAGACCCACACGCTCGCGCCTGCGCACTGCGCCGCCCCGAGCCGCTCGGACAACCCGGGAGCCAGAATCCGTCCTCCGCAGTTTGGCAGCTGCCGGCGTGAGAGGGGCGGGGCCTCGGGAGACCGGCGGCGCGAGTACGGGAGAGGCGGCGCGCCGGCGCTCGGGTGGAGGTAAAAGCCGGCGGGCGCTCCGCGAGGGAGTCGGGGGCTGGAGCGGAGCTTCAGGGAAGGGGCGTGGGCCTCCCGTCGCGGTCCAGGACTCCGCCCGTTGCTGAGCGACCCATAATCACTTCCGCGTTGTTCTGACCAATCCTGCGGGAGCTCCTGCCAGCGAGCATCCTGGGAAATGTAGGCCAGGCCCTGCAGGAGAGGGCTGCGGAGCGAACCGAGGGATGCCGAGGCTGGCCCGCGGGGCTCTGACCTCTCCGTCCCTTAGGACGTTAGGAAGACTGAGACCTCCCCGAGCCTCCCATCACCCGGGCTGGCGGACACACTTTGTAGCCCACGTAACCATGACGCTATAAAACGTGGTTGGGTTTAAAAAAAAAAAAAAATGCAAATTCCCACCCCGGTTTGGAGAAGATGCTCCCAGCCCCAGCGGGATTCTGTGGATACGTAAAGGACTAACGTTTATAGACCGCTCAATTCTGGGCCAAGAATTCATAAACTTATCTCTTTCCTGTACTCGACACCCCCTCCTACCCCCCCACCCCCCCCCCCACCCCCCGTGAGGAGGGCACAGAAGAAGAAGAGCCGGGAAATCGGGAAATAACTGGCAGTTGAGACAGTGTTACTGATTCCACAGCTATTTGTGACTCCTGAACGGGGGACACAAAACCACATCTTGTGCTTCTTTCTATCACTAGCACTTAGTGAAATACCTAGACCTGCAAGTGTATTGATTGAAATGCATCAGTGAATCAATGTGATTCCATAGATTTGGTCTTCTTGTAAGTCAACCTCGTTTAAAAACAAATTCCCAATTTACAACGTGCACGCTCTCAAATCTTCCTGGAGCACCTACAAGTATTCTATCAATGTCCTGGGTCAAAAACTGGAAGCATATCTTTACCTTGGCCTTGCCTAAGTGGTTTTCCAGAACATTCCCACATTGAACCCTGCTCCCCAACTCAGCATGACAGGGAAGTCTGCTGACCAGGATTCCCATGGTCTAGGTCTCAGAAAAATACAAGCATCCATCACAAAAAAAAAAAAAAAAAAAATCATATTTTTGAAATTTATTTATTTTTAAAATTACATATTTTAATTAATTGATTGATTGATTAATTTAATTAATTGATTAAAATTACATATTTAAACAGGTGGGGGCCCGGGGAGGCAGGAAGCTGTGTTGCTTCTTGTCTTCAAGTTCTGAAATTGATATTGCTTTGGGATTCCTGCTCTGCATGCTTTTTAGGGAAGTGAAAGACTTACTATCCTTTGAAGGGGACCAACCAAACGCTAAGCTGTATTTTAGTTTTAACACATCTACTATCACATCTCAGACCTACCAAAACATCACTCTCCAACCCATATGCATTTAAATAAGTTAATTTATTAATATGCTGCTCCTCTGCTGACTCCAGTTTAACCCCTTGTCTCTGTCATTCAATCCAATTTATTCCTTTGAAATAAATAGAGATTAGGTCACAATGACCCCAAATGATGGGGAAAGGAATAAATGGAATCAAACTGATTAGTCTTGTCTCTCCAGTAATAATATGTAGCTCTGTTCAAGAACTGACTGCTTAGATTTATCCAGAGGTAAATCTGGCTCTCAACAGAGCCTCAAGGGGCACCTGTTGCCTATGACTTGGCATCAGGGCACAGGTAGTGATATAGTATGGTGTCTTCCCCAAAACTTGGTATTGGTCCCCTTGGTAAAATTCTCAACTTCTAGGTCAACCCTCTGCTCTGCTCTTCCTACCACTTAAAATACGCCCTCAAGGTTTCTCCTGCCATGAACATCAGGGTTTCTCAATATCAGCACTACTGACATTTGGGCTCAGATAACTCTTTATTGTAGGAAGAGTTGTCCTGAACATTGTAGGATATTTAGCAGCATCTCTGGCCTCTAACCTGCTAGATGGTAGATGGTGTCCCCCTCCCCTAAGCTGTAACAACCAACAAGTCTCCAGGCTGTTGCCAATGTGCCCCTGGTGCAGAACAGTAAGCCAAAAAAAACCAACAAAACAAAAACAAAAACAAAAAAAAACAAAACCTACTAACTCATAAATTAAATGCTGAGATTTATTTAAGATAAAGGAATCTCACACCAGGAAGGCCAGAGATTTACATGGTAGTATTCAGACCCTGCTGGTTCAGATTGCCAGTTCTCTAGCACTCTCTGAGGGCACCTGTTTTTTCACTTCAGCTTGCCCCTCCAGAGTTGAGACACATGGGCTGACAGAAGTCTGGTTGAGTGGCCCAGACACCAATAATGGTCCCAGATGTTTATGAGGGCCTCTCTTCCTGCTTTTTTTATTTTGCTTTTTTTATTCCTCTTTTATTACTCTCTTCCTGCTTTTTATCTGTGACTTCTATCAGAAGGTTAAAGGAGTAAGACATACAGACATTTGAGGACTTATGAGAGTAGGCATGCCAGATTTTAGGATTTCCAGTCTTTGGGCTCCATTCAAACTGATATTGTCTTAGTCAAACTTATTTGATTGCAAGCAACAGAGACTTACCAAAAAGTTTATGTTCAGGGTCCACATGAGCTAAATTAGAATGTTATCAGGGCCTGGGGGAACTCTCCTAGATTTCATGGTCTCTTGCTCCCTGCTCTCAGGTCACATTCTCCTGCTCTCTCTATACTGGATTCCTCTCTGCACTGACAGTTCTGTGCCCCCTTGAGCTTGAGTTTACACACGGCTTTGACTTTGGTCTTACAAGGATCTAGAAGAGGGTGAGCTCTACTTAGTGCATAAGATTATCACAGGTTTGAGGACACCTATGTTCGGGAATAAGCCAAGATCCTCAAGAAAGCCTAAAGAATAGTTTGCTTTTGTAAAGCCAACTAAATCACATTGATAGGTAGTGAGGTTTAAAAAAAAAAAAAAATCAGTGTGTGGTTATACTACTGCACACCAGATGGCCCTATGTGCCCACAATTTAAAAGACTAAAGACCATTCTAGACAAGGATTTCTACATTTGAACTGTCTTTTCTCTTTGAGCAACCATTTATGCAGTGAGTGATGATTTATAAACACAGATTGATGAGTCATTGCTAAAAGCAATTTGGCATTATTCACGCCATGAACATAAGCTTTAATGGAACATTCTTGGGGCCACGTTCTTTTCGTTTCTATTATTACTGTGATGATGGTCATTGGCCGCCCCCTCGCACACACAAAAATACCCCAACAATTCTGCAAACCTGCATTAACAGAAGTCACCGTTCTTTGGGAAATGAAACTTCATGTTTTGGTGCCAGAGGCCTGGGAAGATTCCTGACTCATCTGACAAACTTCTCATGGAAGGTAATCAATTAAGGAAGAATACTGAATGGGATTCCAAGGGAAAACGGTCTCCGGGTGAATGTGGCCTTACATAGGAAGGTGTGTTCGGATTTCACTTATTCATTCAAACATTCAAAGAGTGAGAAAAAATTGTGCCACGTGTCTGAGAAAAAAACAAACAAGAAAAATGCATTCAGAAATCAGTCAATTAGGATAAAACCTACAGACACACAAAATACTATGGTTTGAGGGTTTTAAGAGAAGCGTGAACCAAGATGTACAGGTATACAAAGACAAGGGTGAGCTTCAGTGATAGGGTTTCCTGTAATTATCTTTGGAACCAAACTCAGCTCATGTCACAATGACCAAGTCACTTAACTTTCCTCATTCTGTTTCCTTATTCCTTGTTTTTACAGATGAAGAAACTAGGGCACACAGCATTTAAGTAACTTGCCCATGGTCACTCAGTGAGCAAGAGCCAGCAGGCACTGAGATTAGAATACAGACAAAAGGACTAGCCCCAAACTCATCTCTCAACCAATATCCCCCTGTGCTGTCTTTCCAGAACAGAAAGTCCCCAATACCAGTCCTCAGATGGATGCCCACGGGTTTTTACTCCTCCACAAGAAAATGAGAAAAATAAGGTAAAAGAAGTGAATTGTTTATAAAAGTTTATAAATAAATATATTTTAAAGTACTGTCTTTTTATTTTCTATGATACTGTGTCTGTTCTACTTTTATTCATTTTCTGGTGATCTACTTTATTTCTTTTGCCCCAATATGTTTTATTATAACATTTTTTTAAAGATTTTATTTATTCATTCATAAGAGACACAGACAGAGGCAGAGACATAGGCAGAGGGAGAAGCAGGCTGCCTGCAAGGAGCCTGATGCAGGACTCAATTCCAGGACCCAGGGATCATGACCTGAGCCAAAGGCAGATGCTCGACCACTGAGCCACCCAGGGGCCCCATATTATGACATTTTTCAAACATCGAGAAAAGTTGAGACAAGCAAAATGAATGTCCATATTACCACCCCCAACACATACACACCTAGATAGATATAGCAACCTCCTGTCATATTTGCTTTATTTTTTTAATCTTATTTACTTATTTATTTGAGAGAGAGAGAACAGGCAGAGGGAGTGGCAGAGGGAGAGGTAGAAGCAGTCTCCCCACTGAGCAGGGAGGCTGAGAGAAGTGTGGCTGGATCCCAGGACTCTGGAATCCTGACTGGAGCCAAAGGCAGATGCTTAACCAACAAGCCACCCAGGCACCACCACATTTGCTTTAAAGAGAGAGAATTTGATTCCCTGAAGCATTAGGAGATAGTGATTTTGTTTTATTACTTGAGTCCTCAGGACTAAGTAATAAGGCTCATTCCCTTCTAAGCCATAGGCAGACACTCTCCCCTGGAGAGCGCATTTCTATTGCAGTGACATCTTCAAATCAGACCCTCACATTTGGAAATTTCACTTGTTTAATTTACATATAAAGGCCTCAAATTTCAAGTAGCTTTACTAATATAACTGCTAACTTGACATACCATTCTCAAAATTCTA